TGCATGTTTTTGACATATAGAGCTGTGGCCACTATCGATGTGATTGGCTTACCAGTATCTATATACTACTTTTAGCTTGGCCAACGTTATATTATCAAGTTTATCATTTGCTGTACGCATAGTTCTATTAGTGGTTGTTTGTTCAGGGTTCCTAGTCATGCCATCAATGGAGCTATGTTCAGAGTTTTCTGAAGGATCAGATTGGAAAAGAGGGGATTCTACAAAAACTCAAGTTATTTATAAAGTCTTAACATATACAAATATAGTTCACAATTGTCACATAACTGAGGACTTATGGAGTAGACGAGTTCTAAAGTGATAACCACGGCCCGGCAAAAGTATTGGATACCATCAAGATAGGTAGAGTGACGTAAAGTGGCAACAGTTGTAAACTTGATATTAGTAACATACATTAGGAAAGGCCTATATCCAGCGGTCCATGAACAGGCTGATAATGATGATGCTAATAAATTCAATTTTATCGATATTTTTCTTCATTTTCTTTGTAAATTTTCCGTTATTTTTTTAGTTAGCGCTACGTTATATTATCAAATTTATAATTTGCTGTACGCATAGTTCTATTAGTGGTTGTTTGTTCAGGGTTCCTAGTCATGCCATCAATTACATCTGATTGATCATTTATTGACCAAAATGATCTATGTAATTCTCATAATTACCTTGTCTAGTCAGCCTACGATGTAATCATATAGTTTTTCTAATGTACTTACATCTTTTAAGTGCTAAAAGCCAAGGTATTTTATATGATTGCAAACTGGTTGCATAATAATTGTACAACTGACTTTTCAAATAATCAAGTGCATTTTAAGCGCCCGGGAAATTCTTACAAACTTTGTGGGAACAGCATTTTTTTTTGAAATATGTTAAAACCATCTAGATCTTTTATATTTTGACCTTATGATACTAAACTATCCATTCCAATCGTTTTGATAAAGTTAAAGTATATTTGCAAACAAACGACATAGGTACTTTCGTATAGTTTCTTTAATTATATTAAAAGGATGCTCATGGGACCCATATGATTGAAATATCACGACGCAGGCATTCAATTATTATCGTTCAAAATTGTTGTACTTAGCATTGGTATATGAGACTTCTCGTTTTTATTATTATATTATAAAGCGAGTTGGCTGTGGGGTTGCGCGTGAAGTTTTCTCAAATTAAAGGTTCAACCTTTTACAGGATGTTAGAACTTTGTGGTGGGATATTTTGTTCAGTGTTTTATTATCGTTTTCCTGCTTTTTTATAGGCTTTTATTCAACTTGCAATGTTTGTTTGGATGGATCAAATCATGCTGAGTAAGAACCACCTCTTCTTATGCTAGAGTAAACATTTTACATGTTGGTCCAATTCCGATGATTTTTTTTTCATAATTATAACCTGATCAGTGATCCTCCATTAAGGATTGGCTGCAGACGAAGCCACTTCTCAACTGCTAATAATAATATAAACACGAAATTTTTTATACACTTTCAATAATCACAGTCTATTCCGAAACATACCATGACTTAGCTACTACAACAAGGGTTGGCTCCAAATGAGAGACCTCAGCTGTCAACAATATAGATACGAAATTCGGTATACATAATCAATTATTTTAGCCTGTTCTAAAATCTACCATGACTTGGAGAGACCACTATAACAGACCTAGAGCGCGACCTACGCTATCTATATCCTCCTTTTAAAGGATTGCCACCTGTACTGAAAAAGTCACCTAAGTTATGTAACTAGATTAGACTGTAATTCATTAAGCATTATAGCGGTCAGTGTGTTTGCTGGATGTACTTAGGGGTAATCACATCGATAAAAGTAACAGGCATAGACTTAAGAGAAGATTGTTTCTCACAGGAACAGGGTTGGTTTTTTAGCGTAGGGTAAGTCAAGTGAATCTGAAGTGATTACATAATAAACACATAATATTAAAAATTCGATATGATTCAATAAAACTGAGCAAGTTATCTACGCGAGCGTAGCCGCGGGCAAAAAGCTGTAGCAAAATAAGAATGACTCTTTACATATGTAACTTAAAAACAGAAGGATTGTAAGCTTCAGGTGTAAATAGCATTGGATCTTTAAATATAAAGTAGATGTTAGTATGTTAGTTAAAAAGACCATACCTATTAGCTGAGTTACATGATTCTAAAGACGTAAGCATTGTATGCGAATTGTATCATTGTACTCTCTTACTCTAACTTTAGAAAGATGGAGTAGAGACATGCACATGTCTCTACTCCGTCTTTCTAAAAAATAGAGGCAGTGGACCTTGCTAAATACCTAAAATGAAAATTCATATTATATAACTATATTATATAATAATTCATATCATAGTTCATGCAGTATATATATTATTATCACTCAATACATATTTTCGGCTTCCTAACAGGTGGTATTCCCAAGCATTAATGACTACCATAACATAATACGTTAGATTTGTTCAAAGTGAAAACTCTGGTGGAGTAAATCTAAACTGTAAGTAAAATATAAACAATCAGCAAACTTTTTGAAACCGTGTTAAAATTTTTGTAAATTGATTTTATTTTTACTTTTTTGAATATTTGAGTTTAGAAATAATAAATAGTTTATAAATAATCTTTTCGAATGACATTCAAAAAGATTCCTTATGAAATAAAAAGTAGAAAAATATCAGGAAACCTGCCGATTTTAAACTTATTTTGTTTACTTAGTGGTTCAATATCTACTGCTATAATGTCCGTGTGTATTAATACGTATTTTTGTCAAACATTTTGAAGACCTAATGATTACAGATAATCCTGGCCACTTCCACCGGCAGCAACATCAGTTCCAACTTACGTGTCAACACCGCCAAGTTACTAACTCCTAGCTTTTACTGAGAATTTTTTGACAGAAAAACCCAATAATTGTACTTGTCTTGGGACTCGAATCTAGGACCTCCTGATCTGCTGCGGTACATGCTAGCAGCTAGACTAACGAGTTACCATTAAAACAAATCCTAACATTAATAATAATTTCTGATTTTCAGAAATTATTCAGTACGATATTTCATATCAATTAAATAAATTAATTAAAACCCCTTTCAAGAAGTCAATGTTTAATATTAATTTCTCAAACAAAAGCTCAATATGCCGGAACAGTTGGCTCTATTTTTATTCTATTCACTTACAAGTAAAAAATGTTGAAATCAATCCGTTTATTGCTTATTCCCATTGCAGACCGTAATCAATTTTCTATATATCCATACTTAATATTATAAATGTGAAAGTTTGTATGGATGTATGGATGTTTCTTACTTTTTCACGCCAGAACGGCTGAACGTATTTGGATGAAATTTGGCGCAGTCTGGAATAATAGGCTACTTTTTATCCCGGAAAAAGGTACGGTTCCCGTGGGATAGGTTTGTGTTTGATTTCTTAGCCATCCAAATGTCCGGCCACTGCATGACCAGGCTTCGACCACTCAATTAAAAAGTTTAGCGGCTAATAAAAATCTAATATAATAAAAGTCATTTTTTACTTTATCTAAATAAATATATGGATAGGTCTCAGCCAACCCTTGCAAATATTAACTTGGTTTGTTTTTGAATCTTTACCTTTAGTAAGTGGCGGCATAGTAGTATTTAATCCGGCCTTTTAAAGGCCGGCTAACGGCCGCCATAACGGCCACCATATTCTGATACAATTTTTTTGTATTCATATAATTTTAACAAAGCATATTTTGGCTGCTGAATGCTGGACATAACGTTTACTAGAAGACAATAAATCTATCACTTAGAAATAATTCACAGCACAATGATTAACAATAAAATACAATAAAACTAATGGACACTGAAATTCAGTGTCCGGCTGGGGTAGGCTGGTTACTGGAAATAGCCTGTTCTTGTTCTATTTAATTTCATAAAATATAAGCTTACTTTAACATAATATTAAGAAGAGTATAAACTGACCATTTAAAAACACCTCTCCACTATTCTATTTTTACTGAAGTATCCATTTAACACGTGCGCTCACTTCCATTTTCAAAAACCCACTACTCCTCAATTTATTGTTTACAATACGTATGAACGATGTAGGTAATTCAAAGGAGTTTATAAAAATTTTGATTTAAAGGGTAAAATCAAATAAATATTCCTTATTTATTTCAAAAAGTTGGCCGGACATTGGTAGAGGCCGAGATTCCCTGGGCATGTGTCCTACTCGTACTAATAATAAGAATAAAGCAAAGTCGCTAGTTTTTATCTGTCTGTTTCTCCGCAAATTTCTAGAGAATGCATTTTGGTACGGTTTTAACTATCATTTAAATATTTCTCCCGGAAGTATACCCGGATATTACGTGCTTCAAAAAAGCATATATTATAGAGAAGAGTTGAGAAATATAATATATATTCTATCTATTCCATACTAGCCGTTAAAACGTACCTCCCTAGGTACGTTTTGTACGTTTGACAAACACGAGTGAAGCGAGGGTGAGTCGCTCGTAGTGACATAAACTGTAAAGGAAACTTACTTTTAAGAATAATTTCATCATATCTAGGTGTTTATTATTTTCTTGGAAATGTTATGTAAAATATTATGTAATTTTGTTATCTATTCCTACTATAGATCATAAAATATTTATCTGTTGTTCGTATAAATCTCGTCTTTAAAATCGCATAACTAATTCATGTAAGTGGCAAATTTTACTACGTATTTTCTACTGTATTATCTCGTACTGATATAAAAATATCCGCCTAATGTCACTAATTGAAGGTAGCGCCCCTTAGCGACATTTAAGCTTATTTTGGAGAATAATAATAAAAAAATCCTTTATTTGAGATGCTGAAACATGTTTTGAAGAAGTGCAAGGTGCATGATAATTTTTAGAAGTGACTGATGAGCATGAGCAAGTGTCGGTTGTCGAGTGGTGTGCGGTGGCGCGGTGGTGCGTGCGACGTCAGAGGGCCGCGCGGGCGACGCGCGCGCCCAGGCAGTCGGCAGTAGCGCGAACAGCCCCGTCCGGCACGCACGATGATCGCGCTCGCGCTCGTCATCGCCCTGTTGAACGCGCTCGCCGGCCGGCCCGGCGTCCACGCCAGCCTGCACTGTGCAATGCGCCGAGAGATCTCCCCCTGCACGTGCCGCCGCGAGGACCTGGGCACCGGAGCCATCCTCGTCATCTGCCAGCGCATCAGTACCTACGAGGACATCGCGCGAGCCCTCACCAATAAATTCAGCCCTGAGACCAAAATCGGCCTCGACATCTCCTACTCTCAGCTGCCGGACTTCGCCGACCACAGCTTCCGTGAGCTCGGCCTGTCCATCACCAGGCTCAAACTCAATTTCGACAATCTAAGGCAAGTCGCATAAACGACGCTATAGTCCATATACGAAATGTGTAAGCTCTTTGTTGTGTAAAATGACGAGTAATTGAAACGTGATAATTAAACATCAAAACAGTGCGTGAGTTGAAAGAGAAACAACAGGTTTGTGATAAGAGAAGCGACGGCGATGGAAATCGGTACGTTATCGCGAGTGTGGGCGGCGCCCTCTCCAGGGCTGCAAATCCGTGGCTCCGAGGCCGCAGGATCAAACCAGTGACGCACTGGTAACGAGCGATCAGTAAATTTATCAGTAAATTTCCTTTGGTAAATATGTGGCTTATCGGTATTTATTAAGTGAGAATATTAGAAACGAGTATTGATAAATTACTAATATTAGAGTACATAGTTTTTTGGTATTCTAATATTTCACAAAATAATTAAGGCGCTTGTGACCTCTCACCTCGACCCTCATTGACCGCAATTGATGTTCTGTGATTCCTAAGTCACCAGCACATGTATGTGAAAATGTACAAACGTATAGACAGATTAATAGAAAAAATTCTCTTTATTTCAATCACTCCCAATTTCTGCTTAATAATGAATCATCAGAAAATAGATACTGAATGCATTTATTGTGATTCTGTAAGACATTTTTTTATATGCATCATCCTATTTACTTTCATCGTCATTACATAGTATTAATAAAACGATAATTTTAGTAGCGAGTGGTAGAAACAACTGTCTTGTTTAATTCGTACAAATATCCGTCTGAATTCCATTTACGTATGGGGATCACATCTAGGAGACGCAGTGCGATAGTTCGCTGGGTTATCGCAGGTCGCTTCTAAAGCAGTAAAATTGAATGATATCATATTGGTCGTGTCATATTCACTATATTTACCCATTAATGGTGTACTAACAAATTACAGTACCCCTTGTTTATAAATTGTTATTGTTTTACAAGTGAACAAATGCATCTAAACAATTTTCTTTGTTGATCTGTTTCTATTCTCAGATCTTATACTATGTTCATAATTATATCAAGTTCTTCAGTTCCTATATTTATAACAAAGTACAGAGGGTTCTAGTTGCAGTCCATGTTTTTGTAATTATTTTATTACAAAAACTAGCGACTCACCCTTGCTCCGCTCGGGTTCGTCCCTGGTTATGCTGGTATAGATTTCTCAGAGATGAGATATTTTCCAGCAGTAAAAAGTATCCTATATGTTGATCTGGATAACCAGCTCTCATCATACCAAATTACGTCAAATTGTTTTTAGTGGTTTTCTCGTGATGCGTTTTCGGACCGACAGACAGAGTGATTTGGTTTGAAGTCGGTTTTTATTTTTTGTTATAAAGTTTTTATTTTTCTCTTTTTAGTGTAGACAGCTGTAGTAGCAAAGTAAGAATTTTAACGTGTTAGGCTTGTCGAATCAAACAAAATAAGCCCAAACTCAAAGTATCTACTATTAGCCGTTGAAAAGTTCCACCTATCCACCTTCTGGCCTTACCATCAGATCAGGTCAACAATACCGAACCACTGTACTATCAACGGAAATAGAAACACTTGCAAAGTTTCAAGTCAATATGACAATTAGAAGTAGGTTAAATTCATCATTAGCTATTTTTCCTACCTTAGGGGTGGTATTTTATTTTTATTTTAAATGGGACCAATTTGGAAGTATACACTTTCAAACAAAACAAAAATGGTCTAAATCGGTTAATAAATGACGGAGTTCTGAGGTAACAAACATAAAAAAAATACAGCCGAATTGAGAACCTCTTCCTTTTTGAGGAAGTCGGTTGAAAAGCTTGTTATTTGTAATGTTTTAACTATTTTTTATGTTTTTTACTTTTTTTCGTATTTTTCTCAGCAAACCCTTTCATTTGATATCCATATAGATCAGGGCTGAAGCCTTTGAAAATGGTAAAAAGTGAAAAAAATAATAATAGTAGGATGAATCCCATTGGAAAAGGAAGAGAATATAACAAAAATGAAAGGAAAAATAATTTACGGGCGTTCTGAGATCAGGAAGTTGTAGGGGGTGAGTTTTTAAGCGTAAAAACGGTTTATCTCGATTTCCGGCAAAACCACAAGTCCATTTTTGTTATATTCTCTTCCTTTTCCAATGGGTTTCATTCTACTAATATTATTTTGGTTTCAAAAATTATTGACCCTGGTCTAATATCTTGGGGGTGTAAAATAAACAGCCCGACATATTAAATTTTAAAGCCCTTGCATTTGATACCCATATCATATGGGTGGGTCACTATGAAAATAATAAATTGCCATTTTGTAACGTCCGTCCGTCGTATTGGATTAAAAATGGTGGTATTTTGGAAATCGTGCAGTCACGAGAGTCAAACGTGTTTTCCAAATTTCAGCTCAATCGGACAATTGGAAGTGGGTCAAATTTAACTTGTAAGATTTGATAACAGGCAGACAATGAGACAGGTGAAACTAAATAAAAGCTTGTTATATTTTTTATATTTATCGATATAAAACACGTGTTGTGTATATAGAAATAAAAAAAAAAAACTTCCCATTGTAGCCAATAACGACTAACTTCACACTGTAGTCAATGTCGCATCGCATAGTAAAAGAAGTATAATTACAATACTGCTATATATAAAACTAGCGGCTCACCCTCGCTTCGCTCGGGTTCGCCTCTAGAGAAACACTAATAAAAATCTATTAATTCCCACGGGAACCGTTCATTTTTCCCGGATGAAAAGTAACCGGTTGTTTGACCGGCAATATAAGGTATCAGAATGTTAAATTTTACTAAATTAGGTGCATAAGTTGTATAAGTTATAATAGTTTTTTAACTATCCCACGGGAACCATTATATTTTCCGGGATAAAAAATATCTAAGACGTTGTCCGGGGATATAAGGTACCACCATGCAAAATTTCATTTAAATCGGTCCAATAGATTCGGAGATTAGCCCGTACAAACAGACAAACAGACAAACAATATCACACGGGAACGCAGTCGAACGGGATAAAAAGTATCCTATGTCCGTCTCTAGGTTCTAAGCTACCTCCCCGCCAATTTTCAGCCAAATCGGTTCAGCCGTTCTGGAGTTAAAAATAGTGTAACTAACACGACTTTCTTCTATATACATAGATACTGTTGAGTTGATTTGGCTGAAACTTTGGTTAATTATATTAGGTATATGTAGTTTGTAAAACGACGATGATTGAAAGTTTATATGGACACAACAAACTCAAAAATTGATAATTTCAGAAAAGACGCTACCAATGTAAGTTAAGACATCTATATGGATGAACATATTAAACAGCGTTTAGCTTAAACTGGGCGCGCTTCTATCGAACGCCGGGGCACCCTGGTAATCGCTAAAGCTCGGCTAATTTTATTTTGCATTTTATTTTATTTGGGAATTTCTGTTTTGCATGTATGTATGTATTTTACTACCTCACTTTTCAAGTATGTACTCGAACAGAATAAAACCATAGTTTACATAATTAATTTCAATTACACCAATACCCCATCGCTAAGTAGGCTATATACTCGAAGTGCGTAGTTAGTGTATAACATAAGCCCGACGAAAATCAATTTAAGGCCGCCAGGCTGTAATTGGAATCGATTTCCGTTAATAACTTAATAAGCCAAATGTTACATCGGTTCATATCACTCTAACAACAATTTATAATACTATACCTATCACGTATATCAGATATTCCTAATTGACAATGTCAGCGTATTAAAAATACAATAAACCTTCTCGTTGATTTTATATTTTACTAATAGAGGTGGTTTCGCCCGCGATTAAATTATGGGAAAAAAAACTTTTTCATTACACATACTTTATTATTTGCAAAAATAAGTTCATGTAAGTTTAATTATTTCTTAAAGATATAAGGAAAACAAATTTAATTTTAGCGATCGTAACTCAAAATATCCAGTATCTTAAAAGATGTTAAACATAAGTTACACATTCTGTAAATAAATTTTCATTTTAGGTATTTAGTAAGGTTTATTTAACCTGTATTTTTTTGAAAGTTAGATGAAGAGAGTACAATGTTACAATCGCATACAACATTTACGACTTTAGAATCATTTAACTCGGCTAATATAGGTTTTTTTAATTAACACCTGAAGCTTACAGTCTCCCTACTTTTCCTTCTTTATTAAGTTAGATATATATCGCGCCATTCTTATTTTGCTGTAACTTTTTGCCCGCGGCTACGCTCGCATGGACTGAAAAACTTTACCCAGTTTTAATTTCCATTGAATTTATACGTTGTCAAATCGAAATTTTAATATTATGTCTAGTGTAAAACTCTAGATATAACTAATCTATCTTATACTATATCCTCTTTTTTAATTTTTTTATTTTATATTATTAAGTCTACGTCTGCTATTTTTAACGATTGTTATTTTTTAATTACAATGAATATTGACGCGAAGAGCTTATTATAACATGCTTATCGCAACATCTGCTTTAACAAATATCGATTTATCAATCGTCTAAAGGTCACACTATCATCTTCAGTGATCTTTTAATCTACTAAACATAAACATTACTATATTTTACCTTTATTTTTAACTCATCTTGTTTTTTTCTTGATTATTTTGTATTGGAGTTGTTACCCACTTTATTTTATACTAGCGACTCTTCCTCGCTTCGCTCGTCCCTAGCTTGATTCCCCATACAAACTTTCATTCCCATTTTCACCCCCTTAAGGGATGATTTCCGGGATAAAAAGTCCATTCTTACCAATTTCATCTAAATCGGTTCAGTAGATCCTGAGATTACCCCCTACAACGTCACAAACTCACAATCTCACAAGCTTTACCTCTTTATCATATTAGTATAGATTTTGTGTACAAGCAAATATATTTTGACACGTGTTTTAGTGATGACGGTGGACAGTGCGTATTGGGTAGCGATTCCAATGTTGCAGTATATACATATTGCAAGTCTTTGTTTACCTTCCGCATTCTATATTATTACTATACTTTATATTTGTTTTTGGGGCAGAAAATAAAATTTCTTAAATTAGCA